CATGTGTCACCAATTCATACGGCAAACGGCAAACGTCAGATTGGTCAGATTCAAGTTGAGAATTTCTCAAAACAGAAATTGAGCAGATAAAAACAGCTCAAAAAAATTCTTATGGATTAAAAATTACGTCAAACTGCTAATTTACGTGCGAAAATAATGAATAGTAAACGACAAGTAAAGAGGAAACTTGGTCACGTGGCACAAATTCGCGTTAGCCGTTTGACGCAAACGAGATGCTTAACCTCTCTAATATTACTTTAAAATCTCGGAAAAAAAAAAAAAGAAAAAAACTAAGTACCAGTAATTAGCTTAGCTGTTCGATCTCAGCTGTCTCGCAAGAATGATCTGTCTGACCTTGTTATGGTCTTAAAATTAAAGTAGTTTCTAAAATGACTAAGATGACACTTCTACTTGCAAGAAATAGTGTTACTCGCCTCTCGAGGTCTGCGGGGTTTTATTATAATTATTGTTACTATTACTTTTTTTACTTTCCCAAAGAATCAGAACAGTAAACGAACTGTGAGACAGGGCTAACGGTTTTTCGTTCTTAAAACGGGAAGATTGGAATTTCTAACCACTTGAAGAATTACTAAAACTTCATATCTTGGCGCTGTACTATTCAGTGACAGTATATTGGTATGGTCAGCGCCTGCGTATACCAATCTTCCTATCTCTGTTCGTACGCAAACACCCAAAATACAGTTGAACCCCACAATAGGGCAAGTGACCACGTTTAAACCGCCATCTATCTTGCTATAGGGCACTTGATTTGTTCCGTTAAAATACTTTTGCGTTTTCTTATTAAATAACCCTTTTAATGTCCATCCCAACGTGTTTATTTCTTTTTTTGAAATTCACTTCGTTGATGTGGCCACTCAAATCAAGTAAGTGTTCCAAAGGACGGACTAGAAATGCCAAACGAACAAAATACATCTTGAGGAAACCGTCAAATACGCGCGGTGTTCAATCAAAAGCGTCCATGAATTTTTTTTATTGTTCACAACTAAAATAAGCCCATTCCTTTGAAAATTCTGCAACCGCATTACAACCCTACAATATCAAACAAACAAAAGTAAACTTCCATAAAAAAAGAGCATGTTTTCTTCTCCTGTCTGCTTAATTGATTTATAATCTACAACCGTATCTTATAACTCACCCGCGCACCATATCAAGCTATTTGACGACACTGGTTATAATTAGTGTATTTTACCGAGCATTGCTCATTATATCATTTAAAAGCTAACCGTTGCTTAGCCATAATCACTGAGCGTAGGTGCTAAAACTTACACTCATAGGACAGCTTGATCTCTCTCTGCTCTTCACACTAAATATAGGGTGGATTCATTTGCAACATACGCGCATAGCTGTCGCATTGGCCTATTGGAATTTTTTTTTAGGCTCAAAAACAATGAAAAATTTCCAAAAGGCAAATGCGACAGCTATAAGCGTATGTTGCAAATGAAATCCACCCATAATATGCCCAATAAATTGGTCCCAAGCATACTTTTGTCGTGTAATAATCATGAGGTATCCAACTTAACTTTCCCATTTAATTACCTTTCAAGAATTCGGGAAAAATTTTCGGCTAGAAACACTCGAAAGAGCTTAATTTACTAATCGGTCACAAATAAAATATAGCACATATCTGCGAGTTCTATTTTACCTAGTGCAGTAAAAGAGCATTCTAATTCTACTTTGCTTCAACACGTACAAACCGCAAGTCTCACTTCCCCATTGTCCTGGTGTTATAGCACATTTAAACAGTGCATCAGTTGCTTAGGAAAAAAACAAAGCTCTACTTGCCACTCGCAGGTCTTCGGTGACAATCCCTTTATTGACTTTATTCGTATCACCTTCAAGCTCGGCGACCAAAGCATTAATGGACTTTAGAGACGTGACTGGAATGGATACACCAAAGTTAAACAGTATTCAAAAGCTGTGCGTCAAAGATATCAAGTGCATCGAGTATTTAAATTCCACCCACGAATCACATGTTTTAAAGCAGGGAAGCTAAAACTCGAGACTTTAAGTGGATAAGCGTGCAACACAAACTCTTGCTGTGTGAAGCGCAAAGTAACATGTGCTACATCCCGTTGAGTGTGGGTGACTAATGAATGTAATAGTGTTAACAAAATTTAAGGTAGACAGTATTTCTTGTGTGCCATCTGTAAAAGCATCGAGGACATAGATATAATAGATAGGTATTTAGATTTTTATTTATGCAAGCAAAATTAATATGAAGCTAGCAGTATCCTCGTTGTGACTTGTTAAGACATAAAATAATAGTTTTCCCAACATTACTGGTCACTCTACCTCCAACAGGTGTCATTAAAATGGGTACTGGCGAATATAATGTCCTGGCAAAGCGCTAACAATATCCTTGTCTAAATATTGTCTCATTCTTTGTTTGGCACTCCTCTTAACATTATTTTGAGACATCGTAACACGTTGATGAGGGTTCAAGCTGAAACTCTAAATTCTTCATTTTCTTAACTTTTCTTTTGTTCTTCAAATATAAGGGACGGCGCCACATTTTTTTAACGAAAGAACGGGGTGGTGGGTGGGGGGGACTTTTAACCTCCCTTTTCCATCCCTCCCCCCCCCCCCCCCCCCCCCCCCCCCCCTTCTTTTTTACTTACAATACACAAGAAAAAAAAAAATATTTTTTTCATCGTTATTATAAAAAAAAAAAACTAATCTAATAAATTGTGATGTTTTAATAAAGTATTATTTTTTTTTTTTTTTTTTATAATTTTTAATATTTTACCCCCCCTTTTCCCCCCCCCCCCCCCCCCCCCCCGAAACGGTTTTACCTTTAATTGCGAGAAACAACTTGAAGGTAAAATGCCATTTTCTCGTGAAAGCTTTTAAAAACCGTGAAGCCGTTTGACTGAATGCATAGTTTTCTAAATAATGATTGTTTTTATTGAATTTTATTGAAAGAGTTAAGTTGAGTGAGACTGTTTGACTCGGAATAGTCTTCAGCATTTGAGCTTGATTCACCAAGCGGGAGGTCAGTGTGGTGGCTGATATCCAGTCATCTTTATCGAACAAGCTTGGTCGAGAAAACGATTTATTACATGGACAAAAACAGAACTTTTTTTGCAGAAAAGCTGACTCATGCCCATACTGACCCTCCGGAATAATAAGTATTAACCACTTTATCTGTACATACCATAAAAATTATTTAAGTCATCATGCATACGAATAACCGTCCTTCTAGCCGTTTCTTTCAATAAACCTATTACCAAACAGGACCAAAACCTAGCTATAAATGCGTCTGCATCGTTCCGGGGAGGGTTACACTTCCAGGAAATGAATAATGCGCCACAAACTGACCAATAACTTCGCTGATTCACTCCAATGAGGCTTAACACATTCACCTTCGACATCTTTTGACTTCTCGGGATCAGCATTTCGGTTAAGCAGAACAACTCGACAAAGAAAGCGCCACCGCAAAAAGAACAAACAAACAACCAAACTGACTGACAGAAAATGAACGGGGTTTTATACTTCGCCAGCCAAAGCTATAAGTTAAGACATTACTCTTTTTGGGACAAAATATTAATTCGCAAAAAGTTTCCTTATTATAAGGTTTCAGTTTCAGTTGCACCTGTCAATTTCATAACCCAGTAAACGCACCGCAAAAAAGTCGACATCATTTCCTCGACATCCTTTTTGAAAAGCTCCACTGTTACCTTCATGTAGTCCCATAACGTATTCGATAACTTGCCTGATGAAATTCTCTCTCGCGTGAAATTGTATGAACTGACCCTTTGAACCGCTCAGAAGCTTTATCCTGAGAACAAGCTCTCTGTTTTTAGAATAGGACTCATCGCAAGAGAAATACCTCACGACGCGAGCGGGTCACTATCAATTGCGCGCGTCGCATTGTTTTCCGCTCGCGCGTGGTCCCTTGTCACAGTCTTACTATTTTCAAATGAAAGCTCTCAGGTTAAGCAGAGATACCCACCAACTACTGTTTTCTGTAAACTATTTGTTCATAGGAACAAATTGATGGTGTCTGAAAATCTTAATAGCTCTAGAGGGGCTAAAATAGTTTTAAATGACTATTCCATTCATCTCAGAGGTTTTCTTCTCTTTACGATTTTCAAACGTTTTTGTTGTTGTATCTTCCCACCCTCCCCGGATTTGCGGGCTACAATTCGTTAAAAAGGACCCCTAATTCTCTGTTTTAGAAAGAGCAACAGTAAAAGAGTATCAAAAAATCTGCCACAACTGAAATCATTAATCTTAAGATTCTAATGGAACCAAATACGTCACCATGCATTTTCCCATTTTCCAATGATAAAAACCACTTTTTTGCCTCTCGGAATTGTGCGTATAAGTAAACGCCGGCAGTGTTCACGTTTTTTCCTCCTAGGATGGCTACGATACATAAAAGAAACTGGATGGAGGAAGGGGAAAACAAGGTATATATGGAGCAAAGCAAAAACGGCGAGTGGAAATAATAATTTATAAACAAAACTCTTCGCTCAATTTTCTCCCGTAGTAGGATCAATAAAAAGAATTATGATCTTTTCAATGTAATAGGTTTACTTCGTGGTTCCAAAAGCTTGTTTGGCTTAATCATGCTGTACAATTAAATTCTGAGACGGCTGATCTCCACAAGGAACACGATAAATCAATCTTTCTGGTCACGTCACCCCCATTTGAGGCGTTGCTAGCTCAGTTTTGTTAAACACGTGTTCGAAAGATAGCCCCTGAGTGGAGAGGCAATGCAACTTGCACCCAAGAAGCCGTCAGCGAACTTCATAGACGTTCCTAAAATGAGCGTGGCAGAGGATGGATCTGATTATTGACTTCCCGTCAAGTAAAAAAAAATCTACAACTACTCAGTTTTACGATCTCTCTAACATGGTCATTGTTGCACCCTTTTGGCTATTAAGTATGTTATGAGCATGGTAACTTAACACTTTTCACAATAGAATGAGAATTTACAGTATTCAATCGGGACGGGCATCTATTTCTTAATCGTACCACCTTTAGAGCCGGTTTCTATGGTGAAGAAAAACCTCTTTGTTTTCAACAGCTGGGTAAGGCTATTGAAGCGTTTTAACTTTTAATAAAATAACAATTTCCAATCCTAACAACTCTATGGAGACGGTCGTTTTTTGTCTGAAATCATCACCGTACATCTTATTCAGTCGTTCATGTACATGAAGTTAGAGAAATGATTATTTTACCGATTATTTGCAAGAACGAGTGAATAAACCACCGGCACAACACCTGACGCTGCTGCCCGTCTAGACAGACCCGACGTAAAGCAAAGTAGCTTCAGCATTATTAACTTTTGATTTTAGTGTGCAGCACCACAAACTATTTCCTTCACCATTTTTCAAATTTCCTACAATAAAAATCATGGCCAAGGACTGTTCCGTTGTTATGTTTTCAAGGAGCACAATAAATTCGGACGTCATAATGATTTATAATAACCTGCCAGACATTTAGCAAACAAGCGAAATATAGAAACAAATTTTACAACATAATGAACACTCAGCCGGTGGTATATTGAAACAACTTCAATCAGTGATGACCTTTTTGGGGAGATGCCGTATAGAGACAAGACTTTCGTCGGACGAGAGGCTTCCACTGAATAGTTTTTAACTTGTTCTATAACTTGTTGACTAAGCTAGTCTATTACTTAAGGTAGCGTAATTCCGTAACAATAATTGAAAAGGAAGTAGTTTAAATTATAATTTAATTACCAGTACATCTTAGCCGATCACAACAAAGGGTAGTGATTATTCTTTGATGCCTCAAATAAACTATAAACTATAAACTCAAATAAATTGTAGTGAACACTTTATTCTTCCTGAGTGCAATTTGTAAGTGCTTAAATATGCCCAAGTTCAACCCCCCTGAGGAAAAGGTCCGCTTTGATAACTCACTCAGTATCTTCTTTTTCATCGTGGGTTAAATCGAGAATGATATTAATTCGGCAGACTATTATAATTTATTTTATTATTATTTTTTTAATTTGTAAAAATGCGTTATTTTAGAAGGTAAGATCTGCTTGGCGGGTGGTTTGACTCTATGTACAAATCCCACGTTTCCCCTTTTAACCCTTTTCGAAAAACAAAAACAAAAAAAACGAGTGTATGTAAAATGGTTACTTTATCTTTGTATTTTGTGAGTGTGATTTTCGTAGGTCAGTACAGCACCATGCTTTCAGCCTATCAGCTAATTTTTTTGTATAACTTTTGCAAGGGGGCTTAAACAAAACATTAACTTTTTAATTAGTCCAGCCAGCTGCTGTGCTTTCACATAATTCCTATGCCATCATGATTGAGAGGAAACTAATCTGAGCGGAAGGTCAAAGTCGTTTGGCAGGCAGAGTTAACAAAAAACTCGAGAGCGTCTTGAAACTTTGTCACGCCCAGCCCTTTCAGAAGCTTTCTGACTGGCTAGAAAATAGTTCCGGACCTATCAGAATCGGCGCGAAACTCAGGTCCGCCGGCTCGGATAAAAAAAAAAAAAGTAGTCAGGGGCTTTCGTGTTCGTAAACTTTGAGTGTAGCGAAACTGCCCATGAATCGATCCGTGGATGATAAATCATTGACAATTTATCAGTTAGAAAAAAATCCTTTTTTTCAGTTTACATTGCTCCAAGTTATGTATATACTCACCATTCTGCTAAACGTGACGTTATTTAAGTACTGTTTTGCCTGTGTTTTACACTTTTTTGACAGAAAAGAATGATATTTATGAAAAATGCTAACTGCATTCAACATTTTTTGTTTGATCGGGTCGCTCTTTTGAAAAGAAAAGAACTTCTTTTCAGTCTTTCGGTTTACAGGCCCCTCAAGGTTTATTTAACTCTTGGCTCTTTCACTAGAAGTAACAAAGATCATTCTTCTTTGCCTTGAAACCGTGCTTCGTTCACTTTTCTCGTTGGGCGAAACCTGATATTGATATGCAAACTGCCTGTCACACAAACACAGCAAATGTATGGACTAACATAGCACGTGCAGCGGACAAAGCTTTGTGCAAAAACTGCAGGGTTAGAAGAATGGCTTGGCTATTCAGCCGTGAATAGGTAACTTTGTTAGAACTATAAATACGGGATTAAGGTTTTCAATAGTCACCATACGTTAATGAGGCTGTGAAGTGCTGTTGTAGTCGTTTAAGTTTCAGTAACTACGGTTTCAACTTGATAATCTGATATCGAAAATAAAATGCCATACATTGGACTTCATCATTTAAAGGGCTAGATCTCCTTTAGAAATTTTTTTTTGTTTGTTTACTTGTTAAACCCAGAGAACAATGAAGACCCTATCACACTTGACAACTGGAAGTTGTAAGCGCAAACTACCAAATTTCCATTTTAACTACCGGCATTTGTCCTACTTTAACTGAACTGAAAAATAAATAAACGCGGCACCAGAGAAAATAGAGTCGTGTAAAAAAGCGACACTCGTTTAGTCAAGCGCCGGATAAAATGATCGCTGCGGCAAGAAGATAGCAAAAGGCCTAGAGGGCATGTTATTAGTATATAATTAAGACTTAAAGATCAGTAGGGCAGAGAAAAGGATTAATTGCCATGTTTAGATTTTTCTTTGGGAACACTGCTTTGGAGAACTTTTTTTGGTTACTGAAATGGTTTATTGTGTAATTAAAAAATGGAAGATTCACTCGGTTTGGTTCACTGCCAGATCACAAAACTGTTAACTTGCTTCATAGGGCAAGAGAAAATTTGAATAACACCCTCTTATAATTCCTATAATTATGCAAGCATATTAACTTTCATAACTACGGAAGAAGATCATTGACTTTCTCGCCGTGATAGAGTTCAGGGACATGCAGGTGAACGAACAAAGAAATCGAGAAGTGTTTGGATCACTGTCTCATTATACACTATCGCAATTCCTCCCCTGTTCTATTGTCTAACTGAGAAGACAAAGAAAAACGCCCTACCACTTCGCTAAAATGATGGGTGCTAATCAGATTATGATGAGATCTCCTTAATGTTATTCGTATTATGTGGGTGTTCGTTCTAGTTAAGACTGTGTTCCAACGGCCATTGGGGCGAAAAGACCTATAAACAAATTTGTGAATCTACAGCTAAACATAGACTGGACACATTTGTTGAACGGATTTTCAAGAGGGCCTTTATTACTACGAAGTGACACATTGTAAACAAACTGGATGGTTCAAACAGACTGAGCGGTAAACCACGTTTGAATTACAAAGCGTCATTTTCCCGTACTACCAAATGTCCAGTACCAGCTCTAATGCAAGGACGAGGTGCAAGGAATAATATATCATCTTCGATAGAAGTAACCAAGGAATAAAATGGCCATGTTTAAGCCAAAAGAATGCGGTCTCTAGGATATTTTTTAACAACATCAATTGAATATCATTGAAAAGGGTTCCATTAGCATGCAACAAAATGGAAAGAACAGTTGGGCGGAGAGAATTGTGTTTGAGATTAATTGATATAATTTTCTGTGATTTTCGGAGTAAGTAAAAATTAAAAAAAGATCAGAAAGTTTTTTTGCTTTTTTAAAGGCTAAATCCTCTTGTAATAACTCACCATAAAAAACCAGCCACCTGCGGACAACCATAGAGCGCGCATGCGTGTTTAAAGGAGACGTCAGGTCTAGAAACATGTATAGACCCTTCATTGAAACAAAAAGCCGACGCATCATTTTTCATCAAATGGTGGAAAAATTAGAACTTCGTGAAAGCTGTCATCAAGGACCTTTTTTACAACTATTATAGTGAAAACTTTATTCTATATTAAGACCCCCGACAAGTTGACGTTATTTAGTTCTGAATTAAACAGAAGAAAACGAAAATCTCAGTCGACCAGTTCTGCTTTCTCACTTCGCCATAAACCGACTGGTAAACAAATAAAAGCAGGCTTACGAAAGTAACGAAACACAGTTATGTTAATCTTACTAGTCGAAGAATTGATCGCTTAAGGAATCACGATTAAAAAGAGTAAACTAAAATTGTGTTTAAATTGCTATTGTTCAAATCTCCATCTGTTTACCAGTGGTTTGTTTTCAGATAGTTATGATAATGGAAGAGACAAAACAAATGACCAATTTGAAAAATTTACAATAAAATACCAACTTGTATGCCGAGCGACCAAGTCGTCGGAGTAGATTTAAATGTTGAATCATGTCTAAATTTATCGAAAAAAGTTTGCGGATGGAAATACGTTTCTAGCAAAAGAACAAGCATATTATTACTGAAAGGACCATGCCACAATGTAATATTCACTTGTAAACCACATGGAGCACTGCTCTATGAAAAGGTATCCAAATGAAAGAAAACTAATTAAACTCCAATTTACATATTTGCAGTGGATTTTAAAAGAGCAGCTCTTGTAATTGTCTGTCATTATCAAGGCAGCGATCGGAACCGAAAGACTACCTACAACATGCCGCGTTCATTTCTTGTAAGAGGAAGGCAAAGTAGCTCGGGTCCTACAGAAAAATCTTCAAACACAAGTAAAGACAAAATTTCAGGTGAGAGAATTACCCGACAAATTATGTGCTTGGAATATATATATGTATTTTTTTTTTTTGGAAAAAAGAAGCACACACAATCCTTTTTTTAGAAAAAAATTGTGAATAATCAAGAAGAAGTGAGAAATGAATTGAACGTGATTTGATTGTCCCGAGTACGCTTTGGTGTTAAAAACTAAAGAGGGTCACAATTCTGTGTGGTCAAATGAATTCTGACTGGATTCGGGGAAACCGCCCCACACCGAGTGAAATCACGCAGGAAGTCTCAAACACAAGGATTACTCTTAGACGCGAGAGTAGCAACATCGACCAAAACTGAGGTTTCATTCCAAAATCTACTGATTTCTAACTGGGAGGATCATTCCTCTGGTCTAAATATTGTCTTTCCTGAAGTTACAGAATATAAGAAGGCCTTGGCCATTCACTATAGTTTGCAAGCCACGAACTGTTCGTTCTAAATAAGCTAAGCTTTCTCGATCATCTTTAAAAACGCACTTTTAAGTACAAATAGCGAATAAACGAGTAAAGTAACTGTTTATCTTTAACGAAGTAAATGTGTAACAAAGGAATAGACAAAATTTACGAACTAATTTGTGTTTGGCTGTTCACGAAAGATGTCAAAAATTCTGCTCTCTGCTATATACGTCCATTATCTCTACCGACTATGATATTGAACATTTATTGAAATAAGATAAATCGCTTTTAAAAATCTTACGGTAGAAAAGAAAACCTGTTCATTCGTAATGCCCCATTTAATTAGTCATAAGGAATCTTTTTCGAAATCGCTGTAAATTGGTCGATTTTAGAGAACCACGTTTGAAACAATTTATCTTATCTCGTTGAATGCTCTATTTTGCAACCCCGCCGGCGATAGTTAATTGCTTAACTGATAAAAATGGCGTATTACTCACAAGAAAAAAATTTAGTTTTTATTAACTTCAGTCTTGCAGTTAAAAAAGAGAACAAGTTAAGCAGGACAACGAGATCTGCAGAGAGATTTCGTAGCAGAGAGACATGGTCATTCTAAACAATGACCACACAAGCAGATATTACTTCAATGTGCGGGACGGTTCCCTTTTTACATCTGCGTGCCCATAAATGGGTACCTGAATCACGCATGAAATTGTCCTTTTAACATCACCCTAAAAATCCATGGATTTCCTCAACAAATATCATGTCAAGGGTAAAAGTACGAAAATAATTCTATTTTTCAAAAAGTCAGTACGCGCAAATGAAGTTTGTCTGTTTCTGCTCTGTTTCGTTACTTGGTAGCACTTTGCGCACAAGTAGCAATGTGTAGCGGCACTGTCCAAGCACCTTCGTTTTATTACGATATCAGCCTTCAGTGTCATCTCCGATCGACTAAAAATTCGTATTTTTTTCAAATATTCCCTTTAGTCGTGAGTTCCATGCTTATGCTGTATTGTTGTCTTCTTTCCCTCAGAAAATAAAACGGAGAATTCATGTGCAGACAAATCAGCGGCTTCTTCTACACCAGCCTACACTACAGAGCCTTCTCTTGTTCACGATTCTATATTCACTCACACTCCGAACACAAAGGAAAGCCAACATATCCGACTTCCCACCCTTGTTCGACGTGCTGGCCCTGAATTGTTTGACTCTAAGTTGCAGTTTGGCTTTCCTAAGATTACGTTCCCCATGACGCCACCGTCTCCGTTTGTGTTTAGGCCCGTTCCGAGGTATGGGAGTATTACATACCCCTTCGGATGCCCAAACTTTACTGGAAACCCAACCGGGATGAACTTCAACCATGTAGTTCATCAGTCGTCTTTTATTCCTAGACCGTACCCACCAGAAGCGTTCATTCCCACTGGAGGCCCTCCGAGCTATCGGGTACCCACGAGTTTCAACGACCTTGAGGGACGAGAGACTAAAAATTGCGATGAAACTGCACCTAACGACTCGATCACCTTAAAAACAAAAGTCTACAAATGCCTGGAATGTGGCAAAGAATTTAAGAGGCCTTCGAGTCTTTCAACACATAAACTGATTCACTCGGATCATAAGCCGTACTCGTGCAGCTACTGTGGAAAAAACTTCCTTCGCAAGTCTGACATGAAGAAACATACACTTATGCACACAGGAGTGAAACCCTTTCAGTGTAAGCAGTGTGGAAAGGTATTTAGCCAGTCCTCCAACATGTTAACGCACATGAGGAGACATACAGGAATTAAACCATTCCCCTGCAAGATTTGCGGAAGACGATTCTACAGAAAAGTTGATGTTCGCCGTCATACCATGCGACACGAGTACAGAACAAGCATTGATGAAGAAAACGCTTAGTGAACTTTGAAACTTTTCAGTCGTCGACTGCTGCATAATCATGATCGAACTGATAGGATGTGCCTACTGTAAGGCGAACACTTTTGTGGAAATGAATCCCCAAAACAGTTTTTTTAAGCTTGTTTATAAGTATGATTAAGCTGCGTTGCATTGCTGTATATACACCGACGGTATAAAGTCGGCTGACAACTAAACTTGAATGTAAGCAAAGCAATGAGCACTTAGAAAAGTTAAAAATAGGTCGATTATGTCGTGTTCTGTTCTTTTCACATGTGTACTTAAGCGTTGTCTTGATATTTACCAGAGGATTCCAGTTTTATTTAGTTAAGACTTAAGAATTCATGATCGTCTTAGCAAATGGGAAAAGAAAAGAACTGAAAGAATGAGAAGGCGCAAAAAGTTAGAGCCGAGCTGACACTGAAGCTAATTGAGGCAGCAAGATATCGGCGCAGTCAACAGCATTGCTAGTTTCTTTTCATTGTCACAAGAATTACATCTTGATTTGAATTGTACTTGCCATATATAAAGAAACCTCACGGGTAACACGTTTTCTGATTGTTAACGAATTGCGCAAGAAATTATGATTACGAAGAAGAAAAAGAGGTATCAGTTTCAGTTTGCATACAGAACTAGAAAGTCAACCGGCCAAATGTTACTTAACGAGGGATAAAGGGCTTCAAGAGATATGGCGCTTAGCAAGGGTTAAAAGTTACTTTGTATAAAGATACCACACAATTGATTCTAGAGAAGATATTATATCGCTTTTAAAAAGAAGAGGGTTATTCAATAAACAAACATGGTCAAACATGATATTTTAAGTCAGATAATATCTCAATATGACAAAACGACAATACCGTTTTGACATCGAAATGTGGGCTTTCTTTCTTTTTTTCAACACTGATCTAAAAAGCTGTCATCTCGTGCACTGTTTGAGTCGAAAATGGTCTTCGGTCCAAAAAATGAAATGAGTTGCACTATAACATGAATTTAATAATTGTTTAAACAAAGCACAATGCCTGCTCTTTTGAAAAAAATACCCATCTCAGACGTTTTATAAATATTAATGTAACGCTATTTACGCTCATTTAAAATCTCGCCGGTCTATCAGCTCTGACAAACTTAAATAATATTCATGAATAAAAGAGAAAACAGAAGCCTTAATTATTTTTGCTTGCTTTGGCCCAAAAGAAATGTCCATCGAAATGAAAATATTTGCTGTCTTCACTTAAATGAAAGGGCTTCGTTTCTGTGTTACCAGAAAGCACGTGAAAACACTTATCACATGTGATTATGGTAAATGGTTTTTAATATTCAGCCTTTCTTTATTTTTGTTATCCTTTGCCTAAAAGGTGATCATCATAATGCTTTATCTTCTATCAAATAAGCCAAAAATCTGACCGCACAAAGTTTTGTTAAAATGAGCCGCGTTGAGTGAATCGGAACTTTTTTGTGTTTTTTTCTTCAATGCTTCGGGCATTTTCCGTAAATGAGTGACAATAATGTTATATTATACTTACCCATCTCCCACTAAGAGAGATGCTTATTAAAAAAGTCAACAAATTAGTGCTATAAACCACATTTATTTAGATTATTTAAGGGCCACTGACAAACAGTGTTAAACACTCCTTTTGCAACGGCATTGTCAACACTGAGTTTTTGACATTCTTAATTTCAGTTTTTAGACCCGGATAAATAAAACCAACTTTGCAGTTTTCAGTCGTTCCATTAGGCAAGGACTTTTCTTGAATGATGCAATATACCCACAACGTGATACAACTTATCTGCCTGTCACATTTGTATCAGACCGGCCGTGGTTGCAGGTTGAACATGGCAAATGCGCATTGTCGAAAAGCGAACGCCGTTTTACTTTTTTTCTCCCGGCTTTGTTGTTATTCGAGTCCCATAACATCACATTGAAGAAAAGCAAAGACAATTGCCTTCGTCTATTTGCCATGCGATAGTCAAAAGTGAGACAGTTCTCGCGGCCGCCAGGGCAACAAGGTGAGGTCTCAGTGGAATGTCATTTCAAAAGGCCTTCACCAAACCATTGTTACGACTTTATGAGAAACTCCAGTATCCTGTCGACAATGTGAACACTCGCAATACAAGTAATACTACAATAATGAGAAAGAACACGCTTTCAAAGCTCTTTCAACGCAAAATCCCTTTTACTATAAGTTTATGATGGATCGCTTTCAACGAAAGACACGTACGGAGGAGCTTTCTACAGGAGGTTACGAGGAGATAAAAAACCTACCCTCCAACTTTTCATTAAAGAAACAAAAAAACATTCACGACCTTTGAAAGAAATCGCGGTCACAGTGCCGTGATTTACGAATGTATTTTTGTTCTGTGCATGTGCTCAAGGAGGGGGATTTGACCACACAATAATTATGACGTATAATCGCATAATGAATCTTGGTCATAATATGAGATACATTGCATGAATATATCAGATAATAACTTTTATTATTTAATACCGATCGTTGTTTGCTTAAAGTGCTCCGTCTCTAGTCCGCGAAGTATAAAGGTCGCGTAAAAAGGATTTGAAAAACTGTCGCCGGGCTGAAAATCAAGAGCTCAAAACTTAGGTTTACCGAGTACAGAAATTAAATATAATTAAATATAATATATACCAAACAACAAACAAGCAAGGCGCGTATAAATAAGGTGCGGTTAATGGTGGATAAAGAAAATGAGTAACTTACATTTAATCATGACTTCCACTAGAACGATTTTACTTGACCCGTGAAACAGTTAATAACAACTAGTGCAAAATAGCTACAAATAAACTAAAGAAGACAATAGAATTAATAGTGCATAATAGTGCGTAGTATTCTACTACCTATTTCACGGGGTAAGTAATATCACTCTATGATGATGAAAAAATACCACATTTTCCAAAGTTTTTCTGGTTTTTATAAGACTCTGTTTTGCCATTGTTCTCGGAGGTCACACAAATTGCTCTTTTAAGCTGCTTTTGTTATATAAATCATCATTAGACCTCATTTTTTAGGTAACCCGTTTTGAACAAAACCACATATTATTGAGTGCGCGGCTAGCTAAGTTCGTCTCACAAAATTTTCGTAGACGATTTACAAAAATCATATTTCAGTACGCTTTCCTAAAAATGAATATTTTTTTTTAAATTACCAATGTGATTTAAATAGTTGAACTTAAAAAGTAAAAGAGAATGAAGCGCAGTTTGTTTTTCAGTTTTATCGAATATTTAAGGGAAGGAACTTAAGATAACAATGGTAGGAACCCTCTTCCATGATCATCAAAACTGTCAATAAAAGAAACCCTGAATTATTTAAAAACGGCTGGATTTCCACCAACCTCGGTGTTTCAAATAGCTTAGATTGCTATTTCATTTTCGGCTGATGACTTGGCCAAAATAGATGAGACTGTCACCTTTATTAGGGGGCGTTTTATTGACCTTATTCCGGAATCAGAATAAAGAGAAAAAGCTCACTGGAAATCACTTGTTTTTGCATGCATTGTGTCGTACCATCGAGAAATGAAACTTGATTAAAATGTCAGTGCGTGTAACACTCCAGTGGCCTGACTATCACGGTAGAAGAGATTTGTAACAGAGCTTCCGCATATTCTAATTACGGACTACGATCCATCTAACGCACCGTCCGGCTGTCGCTAAGTTTTGGGCTACTTTCGACGTTTAACTGCTTGGTGGTTTTTTACGCTACGGAAAAGCATCCTTTTATCGCCTTGTACATTTTATCCTACTTCGCATGTAGGTGAGTCTTGGACTGGGCCATTTTCGCAGCGCGCAAGGATGGTTGACCCTTCACGTGGTTCTCTGAGTTTTTTTTCTAACCTTCCCATGTTTCCTTGCGCGTATAGATGCACGGATGCTTGACAGCCTTTCACTGGTACCCACACTACGGGCGAATCTTTGTTTACATTTTTTGCCTCATTAACATTTTCTTTTCATTTTCTGACGAAGCTGTTCGAATTATGTCTCTGAATATTGAAAGAGTATAACATTTTCATTTATCTCTGAAAATCGGAGCCCGATATATTAAACAATTCGGAGAATCGCTTTCAACAACTCAAAACGTACTTAATTGCAAAGAATGTAATGCAACAATTTCGCAGTTGCCGAATGTTGCGATTTTCTTTGTTGTTTCTTGAAAAGATCAAAAACTTGCAAGAATTGCTCAAGTTAACCGGTTCTTTCTACTTTTGAACCTAATTTTTTCAACGGCGAAGTCCTCTGTGAGTAAAAATGTAAACAGGTACCTGAGACGTCAGCAGACTTGTCTAGAAAGCTCGATGGATCAGTGTAAGATTCTGGAAATTTGCCCATTTACTCTCCCCTAAGCCAACGCTTAACACTAACTTCTCACTTGGGGGCAAAATGCCTGAGTTTGAGGGAAGGGTAGAAGGATAGTCTCCCGGAATCTTCACTGATCGTAAAACTGTTTCGAGAGGCCGTTTAAAAGTCGAAATGGTGGAACGATTATTTTCCATATTGAGGTGAATATTTATTCCACTAAAATACAAAACCTCAGCAGTAATTAGAAATTATTGACCAACATATTATTAGCAGTGTACAAGAGCTTAGCCCCTTTATCCTCCCTTGCGATGTATCATTTCATTGTGAGCTAGGCTTTATTTGAGTTTTTTAAAGACCGAGTTTAAAATTATCTTTCCTCTAGACAAAGAGAAAGACCATTTTGGAAGACATTTGTTGACCAGCACCTGTCTTCCGCACGCAACTTATTGTCCGCAAAAGATATTTTGACAAGAAATTAACGCTGTGTTTAATGCCATGTGACTGTCTATTGTTTCAACACAAGGCCTATATTGACAATATAACAAAAAGGTTGTTAAAATGAGCCCTTAAACTCTTGGTCTTTTTGTTCCGTAATTGTGACTATGGGCTTTGTTCAGTTGTCCTAGAGGCGTACAAAATAGCCTTGACGCTAATATCCC